TCCCTTTATCAGTCATGTTTTCATGTCTGTTTTTCAAAAGTAACAAAGCAAATACTTAGTTGCTGTACTTAAGTCGAATTTTCAGGTATCTGTACTTTACTTGAGTAGTTATTTTTCTGACTTTACACTTTACACTCAAACATTTTAAACAATAAATAATAAATATCTGTATTTTCTACTCCTTACATTTTCAAAATAGGCTTGTTACTTTTGGTTTGACACGTTTGAGGGGAGTTATTATTTAATGTCACTGTCTTCAAACATCAAACAGCCTAAACAGTAACACATGAGAGACAGTCCCATTGGTTATTCAGTCACCAGGGATGTCACGTGGATAGAGGCAAACCATGTGCCACAGTCAGGGATTTGGGTTTTTTGGGGTGTTTTTTTGTCACAACATTGTAGTTGAGGATCTTCAGCATCTAGCTAGCCCCACAAAAGAGGAGCAAGCATAAAGTGAGTAACGTTTTTTAAGTGTCAGGTCATTTTAAATGCAGCATTTCTATCAGCTTAACAAACATCAGCAAACACACAAACTGAGTTTGATTGTAGTGTGTTGCAGCTAAAGGTCTATGGGCTCAAATTGTGGTCATAAATATGTTGTACTTGTAAATCAAATGCGTATTTGTGTACTGAGTTTTGTAACCTTGTAAACCAAAATATATGAAAATTTATGTTTGTGCATTTACAGATGAATATTTGTGTTTGTAAAATATATTTACATGAGTTACACATTTTTTGTTAAGGTCTGCTTACAGGTGCAAAGCAAAAACTACATGTAAAACTGCGCTCAGGTTCCCCGGCGGTATCTTACACATACAAAGTTTGACCTGATTTTTCTTCATTTCAGCTGATTGGTCAATGCCATGTCACTCACAAATGTAACAATCCAATCAGAGAACAGATGGGTTTGGCTGTTGGAGGGGGGCGTTACTGATAGCACAGTAGGTTAACTGTGTTATTTAAAGGTTTCATGAAAGTAACCTGCAGGTTAGTGCAGGATAAACCGGTTAGTTTGCTGTGCTGTACGATCTACTGTACAATATGAAGCGCCTTGAGGCGACTGCTGTTGTGATTTGGTGCTATATTAACAAAATTGAATTGAATTGCTGTGATGCATTTAAAATAAAGTGCTGTGTTGGACTGGTGCACAGTAGCTGTGGAGCTCATGGTCAGAGTTCAGTCAAGTATACCAGATCCTTCATTCCAACTCCATAAAGACAGCAGTCTGTACAAGCACACTGACAGTATCCTGTCAATGCATGTATGGAAACCTTCCAGGGCAATTCATGAAACCTCAGAGCCCAGATCACAGCCTGTTCATTAAAAAAATCTCCTGGAGCTCTCGATAGAAATTATTGTGACTTGTGATCCTTTTCCACACACTGAGCCACTGCAACCAACTTTAGGATTCCACCATGTGCTGAATCTTATTTTAATCCCATTCCCTACTAATTCTTTCCTTATTTTTCTCTGATCATCAGTGTTGGGAAGGTTACTTTTAAAATGTATTCCACTACAGATTACAGATTACATGCCCCAAAATTTTTTAATGTATTCCGTTACGTTACTCAATAAGAGTAATGTATTCTGGATACTTTGGATTACTTAATACATTATCATGCTGTTTACAACTACATGAATGCGATTTATTACTATTATAGAAGGTTACTCTCCACACCAACACCAGCTAGATGTTTAAATCTTAATATAAATGAGTAACAGTAGGTGGACATTAGGTAAGGCTGCACTTTTTGCAGCGATCTCGTATTGAAAACTATTCGTATATAAAACAGGTCCGCGGCTCCGAACCGTAGTAAAGGGACCTCTGGCTAATACGGTGGGTTCTGTGTCGGCTCGTAGCTGAAAACTAGCTTTACTTTGT